TATTTATTTATTTATTTATTTATTTATTTATTTATTTATTTATTTATATTTTTTTTAAACCTCCAACAGTGTGTGATGAGTCATCTCGATGCACTCTAACGGTGTCACATTATCCTTGGCTGTAAGAGCTCCAGTTTTTATTATTCTGTTCATGAATACAGGATTCTATCTTATTAAGATTGAAAATCGCAATGTAAAGGACAATTCGGGGAATTCTGAATGATCTGGTGGGAAATACACGTGTCATCTTTCCATTTAAGCGAATACCAAAAAAACACAGTTAAGTGCTGAAAATCTTTGCCCTACCTTCCAAGTGGCATATTTTTCAAATGATTAGAGAATATAATTTCATTATGGGGTAAAACGCCACTGATACTTAGCGTGTACACTGCTCTGGTCTGGCATTAAAACAACAACTGTCACAATATCATTTATATGAGGAATTTAACATTTCCTGTTTAATTTCCTCGCGGGTGCAGAGCGCAGACACCAGATAATCATTTCCTGAAGGATCCTTTACAATGAATTAGCCTCATTTGGAGTCAAACTTGACATCTGATTTAATTAGTCAACATGCGATCTTACTTTGCTAATGCTGTCATTTTTCCTGCTTTCTCATGATTCCCACTAACAACATTAACCCGTGGCGGCTGCTTTGTTTCCCAGTGAGCCAGCAGCTGCTGCTGCCCGTGGGCCTGGCCGTGCTCTGCTACTGTCTGGTCCTCGGCTGCCTCTTTTGCTGCCGGGGACGGAGGAAAGTTCCCCCCGAGGACGGAGAGGCGGCCTCCCTGTGCCCCCGTCCCGCTGAGAGCGTCACCATAACGCTGACCCCTTCTCCTCTCACGCGGCCCGTTAAACAGCAGTACGAGGAGCTGTTCGGGGACGTGCTGGAGTTCCCCTCCTCCAAAAGCGGCTCCCCTCCGTCCGAGGAGGACCTCGCCTCGCTGCCCTTTGACCTGGGCCCCGCCCGGCGCCTCAGCACCCCGGCCGTGCCCTGCTCCCCGGCCGTGCCCTGCTCCCCCGCCAAGGCGCCCAGCCACGGCCGGGCGTCCCTGCCCTCCATCGCCCGGCTGAGTTTCCGGTCCAGATCCCGGCGCGCGGGTCGGCGCAGCACCGTGAGCGGAGACGGCTTCGCTCACGGTGAGAGCAGCCCCCTGACCCCGGCGTCCATCCAGCCCGGGGCGTCTCAGTATGGCTCCGGCTCCCTCTCGGCCTCCCCCAAGCCCTCTCCTCTCCTGCACTTCTCCCTGCTCTTCTCTTTTTCCCGCGGCACCCTGGTGGTGGACGTCCTGGGGCTGTCGGGGGAGGCCCGGCGGCGGAGCGGGGTGTCCGTGAGGGCCAGCCTCCCCCCGCTCTGTCCCTCGCCCCGCCAGACGGCCCCGCGGCGCCGCAGCCTGGGCCCCGGCCCCGACCCGCACCCGCACGGCCAGACCTGTGTGCTGCCGGTGGGAACGGTGGAGGAGCTGCGCGGCTGCACCCTGAGGCTGGCGGTCTGCAGCAGAGACTTCTCCGGCCTGAGAGAGACTTCGCTCGGGGAGGTGGAACTCCCCTGTGAGCAAATTGACTGGAAGCCCGACACCACTACCACCTACACCAGGCAACTGAACCCAACCAAAAGAAAGCTGAAGAAGGTACGCAGCAATCTAATCATTTTTTTTTTAGGCATAGAATACGTGAAAACTAAGTTTTCAAGGGAGAAAATAGAGAAAAAAATCACAACCTATAATTGAAAATCAGTGGATGGCAAGTCAGAGCTTCCCTGATCTTCACCTGAGCAGGAACTGGTTGAACATCCTAAGCATGGATTAGAGTAACTGTGAGTAAACTGCCTGTGGGGTCCAACTGACCTCAAGCGCCAACTTGAGGTCACAATTTCTGAAGTCTGCAGTTCAGAAAACTTCCAAACTACAGTAGCCACCGTGTAGGTGTGTCTGCCACCTACTGTACTTTTAATCTGGTGGAAGGCGCCTCTGATGGGGCCTTGTAGCTTGAGTCAAAGTAAAGAAAATTTTACAATTTATACACCTGAACACATATTCACAAATAATATGTTGCATTTTTTCCCACAGATCACCCTCATGTGTCCTACTGGGACTTTTAATAGGGACGGAGTTTTAATTCCGAATGAATGAGTTAGATTTAATGATCAGTACATCTCTTCATGGGTACAGTAAATAGTGGGTTTGTGTTCTTTTCAACAGGTTTAAACAAACATTGAATGTTGCTCGCTAAATATTATTAGGCAATCTTTCCCAGTAAAGGACATATTGTTGGTCTGCTCCTCTCCATTGTTAACTGCATTCAGTAACTATTTGAATCAGACCAAAGCAGAATATGGGGATCATAGACCAGAGGATAGATTTGTAAACTTAGCCTAACCATTAAAGCTGCGCACAGGCCCAAAGATGGAAATTTCAACGTGCATAGTCTTAGACATGTGCACCTTTTTTGCACATATTAATTTACTCAACTTTAAACTGATGTAGGTTGTTAGTTTTTGACCAAAAGTGTAGCTTAAAATGAGTTTGGCTGTATTTCAGAGTCCTTCTATGTGCGTGTGAACAGTTATATTTGTTTGTCTTGACTGTAACCTGCTTTGAAGTTCCTGTACTTTCTGTACTTCCTGCTTCTCAGCGTGCCGCTTTTTCTTAAAAAAATATATTTTCAAAGTCTTTTTGTTAATGAACAGGAAAAATGTGCATGCAGGCCTATAAAAACACACATCACACTTTATCCATGAAGGAATCTGACATCTAATCAGCACTCCCATTAGCCAGCTTTCACTGCTGTTAGTCATGGCGACTCTCTTGTTAGTGACAGCAGAGCAAACAGAGCGGAGCGCAGCAAACTGGCAGAGCGCCCACGCTGTGCCCTCGCTGGCTCTGCTGCAACATGCCCACAAGGCATCAATAAAAAAGGCTTCGGAGGGAGGTGAGCCTGACTTTTTCTCGGGACTTTCACTCAGTCACGAGATGTGCTGTTTTGTTGGAGTAGCAGTGTTTCTTTTCCCCCCTCTTCCGCTCATGCCCATGTACGGTTTGTCCTCTTCAAACTGCATCATCATCTTCCTCGTTCTCCGTAAGAGTTATGTGTGGATGTAAAGAAGGATTGAGAGGGGAAAAAATGGCTTCTCAGTAATCTGAGTAAGCAGGAAAGTGCCTGAAAAAAGTCTGTGCACTCTGACTCCAGCTCTTAATGCAGACTTTTTTTTTTAGTTTGTCGAAAGACTGCAGGTTTTTAATCAGTGTAACAGGACCAGTTGGGGGTATGCAGTAAATGATCAATCATCACCATTATATAGCTTGTTTTCACATCTTGTAGTAGTGGGTGTTGTTTTTTCTATGCGGGCTTTCAGGTTTTCATTGCCCACTGCGGCTTTTAGGGATGTATGGAAGTGCCTTAAAATCCCTACAGGCACTGAGTCCAAACATCACTGATTACGAGGGGCTCCCATTGAAATAACATTGTCAATATTTTTATTCATATTTTCATATTTTTGTATTTTCTATCTGAGCTTTGCGGGGGTTCTGTAAAATATAGCTTTTTTGTGAATATTCAGTTAGACTGAGCTGGCCTATACATTTGTATTACACTTTCCCCTTCCTTCACTTTCTTTTCGTTACAGATTTTGCATTTTGTATAGAAAATTCACATGAAAATTGTTTGATATAATCACTATTTAGGTAAGGGTGGGTTTGATGATTTGCAATGTCTACTGATAGCAAGGTTTCTGGTTCGAATTCTGTTCTCTTTCTGAATACTGTTCCACCGTCCAGAAGCAAGCGTTGTAGATTAATAGGTGACTCTGAATTGACCTCAGAAGTGAGCTTGAGTTTGCGTGGTTGTGTGTCTTGTTTGTCTCACTGTGGCCCTGTGATGGACTGGTGACCTTTCCAGGGTGTACCCATAGCGGGCCACAACCTGAGACATTTCCAGGGGTTTTTAGATGTTCATCTGTCATCACGGTTGCTCGTTTACTTCAGTTACAAAGCAAAGCATCACTGTTCTGAATTCTTTCTCTTGCAAAAATCACAGAGTTATTCAGCATTACCAGCAGTCATTTCGCATCACAATTCTCCCACCATGGTGCAGAACATCTGCAAAAACAATCTCAGCACTATCATATCATGAGGTTAGACTGTTTTCATTTTGCATCCTGAGAATATAGGTAGAATTGAAAGGAGGTGATATTCCAGTACTCACTGGCACTAGTGTTCTTAGAAGCTTAAGATTGCTCTGCCTTCCTTAATAAACGTCCATCACTGGATGACATCGCGTGACAGACTTTACTTGTAAACAAAAGAGGCACAAAAATGCATAGTGGCATGTTTTCACTGAAAATGTATCATGTGTGGGAAAAAATGAGTCATCTGTCTGTATTTGCAATTTTTGTTGTTTATATAAGAAAATAAATTCCTCCCTTACATAGTTTGGGAGTTAATATGGGCGGGCAGAGTAACTTCTGTTGATTTAAGCAGTATTATGAGTTTGTTTGTGACGGAGCCAGTGAACTGAGACTGAGACTAAATTGCCTCCACACTGCGCTGCGTGACTCCAACAAGTCGCTCGCGGGCTAACACTGACCGCAGATAGTGACTCACTGGGCCTCTTATAACTAAAGCTAATGTAAGTTGACATGAAATCAGATGGAAATTACCACAATATTTACATATCAGTTGTTGCTTTTACCCAAAGGGGCAGGATGAGCATTCAGAGTAAGTCCTGAAGCCTGACAGCGTGTAATGAAAATCAATATTTCTGATTGGCTTTACGTGACTGAAAATGTGATGCAGATGAAGGCCTGATGTGCTGGACATTCTAGTTTATTCGTACAATATAAATCTGCTTTTGTACTTTGACAAGCAGTGGTACAAAGCTAACAGGGAACTGACTTATTGATTCTGATAAAGTGTGTCTCAGTGCCTGCGATGGCTCATTTAGAACTTAGGAGTCAGTTAGAATAGGAGTCAGTTCTTTCTTCTTGGTTTCATCTGACTCCTTTTGTCTTAAAACAAATACGGGTCATCAGCAGAAGGCTTTTTGTTTTAAAATGGTCCGGACTTTTCTCACTTTTCATCTTTTCCCGTCCCGCACTGGGCTCGTCAGAGCGTCAGTTCTCATGAGGCAGTGGCTCACAGGAAGAGCTCGCTGGGCGCCCCGCGGCCTTTGGGACAGCTGTTCATCCTGCTGCAGTACCAGGGGCCGGCCCAGCGCATCAAGGTGATGGTCCGAAAGGCCGAGAACCTGGTGAAGCTCACGCGCATGCCGGGAACTCCAGGTGAGGATCCGAATCCATATTCCTTCTTTTTATAGTTGTGTTTCTGTTTCCCTTTCTACCAATTTACAAGGAAAGTCCTTCCATGAAAGACTTACACAGGTGAGCTCGCTCTATAAATAACATCAGGGAAAGATTCAGAGCCAACAGCTGGGCTAAACGGTAAATGGACTTTAGTCCTAGCTCGCATTTCCTCCAACTGACCACTCAGAGTGCTTTTAAACAACAAGCCACATTCACTCACTCATACACACACACAAACACACTCATACAGTTCCTCTTAGTTTTTGTTATGGTCGTTGACCATACATAGTGCTTCATCTCAATATTATACATTTCTGCTGGGTCTCACACAGAGACTTCAACATGTAGAAATCAATTCAACAGAGCCCAGAGGTGCAAAAACGTTCCTTTCCTTATAAAGCCTTCTATCTATCTATCTATCTATCTATCTATCTATCTATCTATCTATCT